TATTTTTTGGAAACACCCGAGCCGCGAACAGATTAAAAATTTAGGTCAGACAGGGTGATAAGACATTTATCACATATTTACATTTATCGCGACAAGCTTAGCCATGCTTCGAGCCTGGTGTGGCAGACTGCAAAACAGCGGATTATGCAAATAAAGTGTTCATGAAACAAATAAAATATATGTAGCAAGAAAGTAATATTTTTTTTTGTACAAGACATTACAAAAGTATGTCGAAAGCAAATAATTACTTTGGGAGAAAGTTGTAATTATGATGAAGTACATTTTGTTGTGGTAATTTTTAATGTAATTTAATTCCATTTTAGTTGTGTCAGGCAAGGTAATTAGTACTGTTATTTATTTGGAAAGCAAAAGTAATTTGGCAACCTCCGGCCGAGTGGTACAATGCGCAAAGCTTTTCTCCGTTCCTGAAAGCTCTAAATCCTATCGACTTAGAAATCGAGACTTTTTAAAATTTATTTGTCTTTTTACTTTAGGCCCTGCCGTAAGAGGATGATAATTTGGAAACATCTACGTGTTCCGCTTGGTTTGCGAATAAAAACAAGTGAATATAGCACAGGTAAGAAAATACACTTATCATCGTGTATATACACAAATAATAAAATCAAGTAAATTTGTGATGATTGTATTGTAAATGTGATGTAAAAAAAGAAGCAGAATAGCTTTTGAACTCTTTCTTGCAACTCAGTTACGATTGAATCATTAGGCATTCTAGTAATCTGAAATTGTTATACCATATCATAGCTGCAAAATAAAATAAAATATACAGATTGAACTTTGAACGTTTTTTTTTTCAGCTCTTACGAATTGAAAACCCTACAAAAATGTCATGTAGGGTTTTATGTTGTTGTTGTTCTTTTTGCGGGGGAAAGGGGGGGGGGGGGTGCGGCATCTTTATGGGAATAAGTAGCTTCTTACCGAGGCAATTTACTGGCTCGCTTTTTATTTCTAAAACAAGCGGAAGAGATATGCATTCTGACCATCCCTCTTTGATGTCTTTCAAGGCGTCGGCGTTATGTCGGTGAGGGAGCGACCAGGGAATAAACCAAGAAACTTGTTTAAAAACGCAAAAGACCCCTTTCGAACTTCCCGGGCCGACTATTAGAAGGTCGGAACCACTGCCCAATGGCGGAACAACTGACATTGTGAAATGTGCAAGTCATTCCATAAGATAGTGAACGTCGCAGCGCGGCCAACGCTAGGAGCAGAGGAGACAATCAAACAGCGTCGAAAGTGCAACGTCACTGCGTTCATCGCCTTTGTGTTTTTTTTCTATTCCAACTAAACGCGTAAAGTGTGCCGTGACGCTACGATTTCAGTCCGCCATTGTTCAGGGGTTTTACAGGTACCAACAGAGGCCAGTCTTTTAAAAGGAGTCTGTAGTGTAAAAATTGCAAGAGTGTATCATTAAAGTATTGTAAAAAGCAAAACTACAATTAATATTAGAACCCGGTTTCCATAAAAATCAAACCTGTATTTTTTTGTTGTTTTTTTAGCCGGTGCTATGCGCGTTTATCGACTCAGCAAACCCGTAAAGGGTTTTAAGGGGTCTAGTACGTCTGATACATCACCTCCTCAGACATAACCTTTCAATAGTAATCTTCTTCGATTTTTGTTCCACAAAATTTCTACCGGCAGTACCTTTACAGATTGCTTCTAAACTACACGGACCCGGCATATCTCGTATATATATATATATATATATATATAAATATACAACGGGCATGGTGGCGGGAGGCCGAAGGCGTGGGTATATAACTTGGAAGAAAAAAAGAACCTTGGTGAAAGCAGCAACAACGGACGGTTTATTTTTCGACGTTTCGGCCGGAGTCCAGCCTTCGTCAGTTATATATATGAAAATAAGCACTTTTCCCGGAGCTGAATTGAACTTTTAAGAGCCTTCACGTCATTCATTTAGGCACAGCTTCGTAGCTACGAGGGTGAAAAGTTAATTTTTAGCTGGCGGAGTAACCACTCCAACGAATCGCTTGTATCGTCTTCCTCGGAAACTCAAATTGTTTCCCTTCCAGATCATGCTCCACCCACCGCTTGGAGCTTTGGGGCAGCAGCACAAAACTGTTTGTCATTGTGGGGTTCACTATATTCGTTTCACTTTAAGTTCGACGGCAGCGGATGCTACGATTCCACCATTTTACAGTTCCTTTCTTCTACACTGGGCTCTTGTATGTGTTCCAGCGCTTCGAGTGTGTACATCATCTATACTCCGCGACAACTTTTCTTGGCAATGCAGTGGAAGGTACAGGCCCGCGTCCCCTCTCCCATTTTGAGTGTACGCAGGCTCTCCTCCTCTCCCCATTTCCGGGGGAGGAGGAGAGCCTGCGTTGCCTGCGTATACTCAAAATGGGAGAGGGCACGCGGGCCTGTACCTTCCACTGCATTGCCAAGAAAAGTTGTCACGGCGTATAGTTGTCCTTCGTTTTTTCTGGCGCTGTTTATTTGACCGTTAGCATGTACTACGCACTCGTCCTGCCTTCCACCGTATTGTAGCCAATCGACCAACGACAAAAGTGCACGATCGCTGAGCTTGTGAGCTCGTTGTCTTCGTGGGTTTGCTTTGAACAGCTAAATCAATCACGCGCAGAAAAAAAAAAAACGCAGCAACGCGGTGCATTTACTTGATTGCTTTTCTTGGGTATAACTTATAAGAAACCCGTAGGAAGGATAAGCGCCGTGACGATGCTATTTTAGTGAAATGGACTACACTGCCCTGCTTTATCTTAAAGATTACCCTGGACATTTCTGGGTATAAGAAACAGTCCTGTAAGACAAAGCCTTGCATAGTCGCAGTCTTGGGTAAGTTACTTTTATAAAAGTAATTCGTTACAGTTACAGTTACTTTCAGAAAAAAGTAGCGAAGTTCCCGTTACAGTTACCGCAACAAAATAGTAACTCGTTACAGTTAGTTACTTTTAAAAAGTAACGACGTTACTCTTCAGTTACTTTTTTATAACACAAAACAATGAGAAAAAACTAGAAAACGCCCCTCACAACGTTTTGCATAAAAGTTAAAAGTATGCTTCTTACTTCATATTGTAACTTAGCAGCAGTTGCTTCTTGAAGTTAGTGTTTGAAAGTTTCCACGCCAGAGTAGTGGCGCAAATCAAAATACGAGACATGCGCAGTGCCCTCCACGTGTATTGTTGTTTCACGGTTGATTCACCCGATTGAAAAGCGTTTGCACGGAAAAAAGAAAAACCACAACATAGATAGTGCTTCAAGACACTAAGATGCAAGTGTTCAGTCACAAAGTACAAGCGCGTGCGTAAAGATAACTAGATATCTTTTTCACAAAATCCACACGTGGCTAAATTCGGGTCGTGACTCGCGAGGGAGAACGTATTCACAACTTTGTGCAAGGCCAACTTGACACTCAAAATGTCGCAATAGACGATTTGGAAAGTGCAAGGAAAGGCTAAATTGCACTCGTTTAGTGATCATAAAACACTGAAAAGTAACGAAAGAAGTAACGTTGTTACTTTCATCGTTACCTCAGAAAAAAGTAATAGAACTACAGTTAAAAGTTACAATTTTAAAAAGTAAATCGTTACAGTTACAAGTTACCAAAAAAGTAACGAAGCAACAGTAACGCGTTACTAGTAACGCGTTACTACCTAAGACTGCATAGTCGGCGCCTCTACGTGGTGCACACAGCGTAGAATATTATGTTTTAGAGGTGTACACTACGCTTATTCCGAAAAATATTCGAAGAACTAAACGCGGTCCAAGAACTTCACGCAAATGTAAAATGCAATAAAAAAAAAAAAATTTTAGATGCCCGTTTTTTTGCTGTATTTTTCTTTTAAGTTCTGCACAATGCTCTTTGAATCGAATCTAAGGGCCACGTCTTCAGCTGCAGTTTTTGTCTCCTCCCGCCGGCTTCCAAAGCTGCCATTGGCGGGAAAGGTTTGATGCAATCGCGCGATGCGAGTAATACGCCTACAATCTGGGATATAAGAAAGCCACCTACCTCTCCACACATCGGACTAGCAATCGCCACTTCAAGTTTCTCGAAGCAAGAAAACGGTACGTAAGTTTTCTATAGCATTGCAACGCCCTCGAATTAGTTTTGTTGCCATGTCGTTCTCTTAGGAGCGCCTACAGTACAATGTATGTTCGTGAAATTGTATTCATAATACCCTTCGGTTAAATAACGGACCGGTGTAGGTGGGTCTGGCGAACTGTGCAATGTTATTCCCGCCGTTTTTCTAAGACAGCCTAAAAAGATTTTTTTAGTAATTTTATATTAAGATTATTACCGAAGTTTGCTTACTAACACTACAGGTCTCTTTAGTTTTTTTTTTCTCTCAAATATTTTAGGAAATACAAAATGCGATCTATATGTTGCCGTGTACCGCTGGAAGAAAAAAATACCTACGAGAGTAATATCTAGAAGCCGTGGAAACTCCGTGTTGAAGGCAGGAATTTCTATCGGTGTTTATTTTACTGGACCAGCTCATTATTTCCCTATTTTCTTTCTGATGTGAAAAAGAAAAATATTCGAATGTGCGTTGCGGATAAGATTCTAGAAACTATTGTGCGTTAAAAATTACATACACATTTTCGTTCTTCTGCCTTGTTTTTCTGTTAACCAGGGAATACCGTGTCACATAGACCTTTTTCGAAAGTCACTTGTTGATTATTAGAAGGTAGGAAGCACTGCACAATGGTTGAACAACTGGTGTCGAGAAACGTGCAAGTCATTCCGTAAGATAGCGAACGTCGGAGGGCGGCAAACGCTAGGACCCGACGAGTCAATCAAACAGCGTCGAAAGTGCAATGTCACTGCACTCATCACCTTTTTCTGCCGGTGTGTTTGTGTCTTCTAATCCAACCAAACGTATAAACCCCATTGTGCAGGGATTTCACAGCTGCCAACAAAGTACTCTGCGAAAATGTGTTGAGTTCAGAGGCTATGTTTATATTATCTTTACTCTTTCAGTGGGACGTTGTCATTGAGCAAAATGCAGCTCGGAGTTTTTGCCGTGGTGCTTGTTCTACCATCTTTTCTAAGCGGTAAGTTTAATCTAAAAATATACATAAATATATATATTTATATATATATTGTCTTCTAATCCAACCAAAAGTATAAGCGGACAATGACGTTGCGGTTTTATTCTGCCATTGTGCAGGGATTTCACAGGTGCCAACAGAGGACAGTATATTTCGAAAGGAATCTATCCATAAGATAGCGGACGTCGGAGCACGACCAACACTACGAGCCGACGAGCCAGTAAAACAGTATTGCACGTTCCTCGATGCAGTCGCTCCACATCTGTGCAGTGGTTCCGACCCTCTAATAATCGGCACGTGACTTTTGAAAGGGGTCTGTTAAAACACTTGAAGAGGGCAGGGTAGAGCGAAAGTCACGTGATACAAAATAGAAAAGTATTCAGGCTACCTGTTTAAGAAACGCCATAATCTGAACCCTGAGAGACGGAGGAAAAACTAACAGGCAAGACAAGAATTTTGGTCGTCTTGGCCGTTATTTTGATTTTTTCGTACGTTGAGGTTTATATTGTGAAATATATTTTCATTTTTATTTTTCTCTAGATAAATTTTGTTCATTTTATTTCTATACTGTTTTTCAGAACCTTTTCGAGTGGTGCCACCGCTTCTTTTTGAATTACGTCAGTCTTTTCGAGCCAGGCTTTAGAACGTCACGTGTCTGACGAGGTAGTAACGAATATCGTTAATATTGTTATAATATAAAACACGTCAGGGTGTAGCAATAACATTCAACCGTCTCACGCAGGCTACAATGTTAGCTGATAATCTTTCCTCTAATTTATTAGTTCGAGAAAGTACATTAGCTTGAACATGATTGTAAACCTGAGACTGGGGCAGGAAGAGAACACAACAGAAGGTAGTAAAAGAGGAGGTAACGCCTCTTTTACTACCTTCTGTTGTGTTCTCTTCCTGCCCCAGTCTCAGGTTTACAATCAAATTGAGACGTAGCTTCCTCTTTTACTACCTTCTGTTGTGTTCTGTTCCTGCCCCAGTCTCAGGTTTACAATCATGTTCAACTTACACCAGCTCGCCTGCACTCTGACTATTTTTACATTAGCTTGAGGCCGCAGAAAGGCAGTTGCGACTCTCCGGGGTATTGCTGTATTGAAATCTGCACCAAAATATAAACAAAGTTATTTTTAGAAAGTACAAATAATGGGCGGTGTTGCAAATAATAAACAGAATCGAAGTTTTATTTAGACAACCGACGGGTAGTGCGGCTGTCGGGGGGCCGTCGCAATAGGCAATGGCATGCTTGACGAGGCGACAACCGCCCTGCTGTGCCCCCTTCTTGGCTACACTATTCAGCAAGCTGTGACAAAAGGAACGCTCAGCATGGAGAAGAAACTCAGGTGTCTCGATCAAGCCAAACATCATAACTGCACATCCACAATAAAATAACGATGAATAAAGGGACGAAATCAAGGAAATGAAAACCGCAGTCACCCGAAGCGTCAGAACACACGTTAAACTCTTTCTACCTGCAAAACACGACAGAGAAAGTGGAATCACCGACAACGAGCACGAAAGAATAAGACCAAGATATTTGAAGTCAACCATTCGCCCATAAAACAAAGGACAACTATTTTTTTCTACGCTCGCAAAGAAAAGTTTACAAAAAGTAGCACCACCGCAAAAAAAAAACAAAAAAAAACTAGCCAGTTTGTTTTTAAATGATTAAACAATCTGAAATGATGTGTCTCTTCAGTGCTTCCACAGACATACTTATCCCTATACTGAGAATGATATCAGGTTGGTTGTTTAGGAGCTTGGGTATTTGATATTCTATTGATTGTCGCACGGATAGCAGTTTGATCATTCGCATCCGATCTGCATCCGCAGATTTTGTATCTGTTTCCGAACCGCATCCTTTAAGTTCGAAACCTCCTCCGACGCGCAATTCGCATTTTCATTTAAAATTATGAAATCAAGAAGTCATGGAGGAAGGAGGCTTCTTCTGCTTTCTTGTGGCTTGTACGTTTATGGTTCTCTTTGCCTCCAGAAAATTTTACGCTCATTCCCTGCCAAAACAAGAACAAGCGTGGCCGGATGATTGATGTCCCTTCAGTCGTACTTTTAGAGCGCAGCTCTTAGGGGCCCGTTCCCGGCTTGAGCGGCGTCGGCGTCGCCGTCGGCGTAACCAAGGTCATCCCAAGGTCACTTGACCCCCAAGGTCCTCCAAGGTCACGTGACCCCAAGGTCACCCCAAGGTCACGTGACCCCTCCCCAAGGGTCATCGGGGGTCACGCGACTCCCCAAGGTCACCCCAAGGTCACGTGACACCCAAAGTCACGTGACCCCCGGGGTCACGTGACCCCCGATGACGTCATCAGTGACGTCACTGATAACGTCACCGGCATCCGCATCGTCATCATCACTGATGACGTCACCGGCATCCACGTCGTCATTGTCATCATCACTGATGACGTCATCAGTGACGTCACTGATGACGTCACCGGCATCCGCATCGTCATCGTCATCATCACTGATGACGTCACCGGCATCCGCATCGTCATCATCGCTGATGACGTCATCAGTGACGTCACTGATGACGTGACCGGCATCCGCATCGTCATCGTCATCATCACTGATGACGTCACCGGCATCCACATCGTCATTATCTTCATCACTGATGACGTCATCAGTGACATCACTGATGATGTCACCGGCATCCGCATCGTAATCGTCATCATCACTGATGACGTCACCGGCATCCGCATCGTCATCGTCATAATCGCTGATAACGTCATCAGTGACGTCACTGATGACGTCACCGGCATCCGCATCGTCATCATCACTGATGACGTCACCGGCATCCGCATCGTCATCATCGCTGATGACGTCATCAGTGACGTCACTGATGACGTCACCGGCATCCGCATCGTCATCGTTATCATCACTGATGACGTCACCGGCCTTCGCATCGTCATTGTCATCATCACTGATGACGTCATCGGTATCCGCATCGGCATCGTTACTGATGACGTCATCGGCATCGGTATCGTCACATGACCCCCCTAGGTCACGTGACCCCCACCCAAGGTCACTTGATCCCCCTCAATACCCTTCCCTCCTCCTCCTCCTCAAGAGCTGCGCTCTAATTCGGCGTTACAGGGAGTTGTAAACGGCTTTCACTTTTTCAGAAGAAAACACCCTTGGCAAGAAGGAACGCTCTAAAGCCATATCTTTTGAGATCAGGTGTTGGCGTAAAGAACAATGTTCCCCCCGATAGGTATCTTTTTTTCTAATAGAGTAATTTGCTCCCACAAAACATTGTACAATACGCTTCATACTATCACTCACTCATTCACTCTACAGTCTTTGATCGCACAACATTTATGGGTCGGCTCGGCAAAAATGCTGATCTGGATTACCGGATATCCGCATCCAATCAGCATCCGCAGCCTCTGGCATCTGCATCCGATCCGTAATCCGCCAAATCTGATTCAATTTTACCCGCCTCCTCGAGTTGACTGCAGATTTCCGCGGATGATTCATGCGTAATCTGCGGATACGCAGAACTCTAGTAATCTAATTTTTGTATGTTTTTGCTAGTCAATATTTGCTTTGCTTAACTTTAGTGTTAATATAGTATGCATGAGTTTTCCCTTTATACTTCAAAAAGTAGCGATGAAACCTATCGACACCATCGGGTATTTTATACAGATGTACCAATTTGCAAATCTGCTGTTTAAAATGTTTGTTTTGATCCCCTAAAATGAGCATTATCTTGTGTTGAAGAGAATTTCTGACAAGAATGTTTCTATTTGCTTCAAATGTTGTGTTACATATCCGAGTTAACGCGGAGGCAAATTGTAAAGGAATGTACTACGTAACATTCACTTCAACGCGCGCAAGAGTCAGTAGAGGAACTAGGCGATAATTGCTACTTACTTAAAATAGTACGAAAGATATGCGAGGGTTGATTAACAAGGTTTGCCTCCTAGGCTGTAACTGTTTGATTCAGTGATGTATCTCATATAAAAATTTTGACGAGTGTGTTGGAAGAGATGTAACAGTAATAAAGCACAAAACGAACAGAAGGAGATGTCTGTTTCCGTCCTTCTGCTCGTTTTGTGCTTTCTTACTGTTATATCTCACATATATTACATTTAAATTAAACTTTAGAAACTCTTATTATCCAGAAGCACATAACGTCTCAGTCGAGTCCCCCACCTGCGGCGATGCACTTCCACTACCGGTGCACTAGTCTCCGTCTGCCTTCGTAAAAAAAAAAAAAAAAAATTGAAGCACAAGATGAAAACAGGAGGAGAAAATCAGAGTAAACAAGGCGGCCTGCCTCGCTTGGCTATTCTGAGTTGGGGAAGGGGATTGGGATATGAAAGGGAGGAGGAAAGAAAGAGAGGAGAGGAGACATGACTATCTAGCTTACATACGCGTTAACAATTAGTGCAGTATCCTGCGCGCGCATAATCATGAGAGTCGTACTATCGAAAATGGCACAAAAACTAAGAGCACTGAAAGTACGTTGTTTGCACAGTAAAATGTTCGACCAAAGTACGAGAGCTGTATGTGCCAGCACGAAGTTCAGTAAAGTACCATTAGCGGAATTATGTAATTTGGAGTTATGTACGTACGCGAACAATAATAATGGCTAATATAACACTTTTTTACAAACAGACCTAAAGACGAGTTGCGAACAAAGAAACATAGAAGGGCGTTTGACGCCTTCTCCTTTTTAGTTAGAGGAACTCGAACCCCTGCTATTTGGGACGTCACAAATGGTCGGTCGTCTAGATGTGAGAGGGTGTTCTTTAGAAGTTCCCTTTCTGTGTCGTAAAGGCTACAATTGCGATACATTGAAATAAGAAAAATGGAGCGCGTGACTTTCTGTACTACATGCTGTTGAGCCTGGCGACAGGCTAGGGAAGGTTGCGATATACAGTAAGGCCAGAGGTACGAGGATTCGCGTCCAACTATAATATGGCTTGAATATCGTTTGGTGTGCAAGGGCGTTGGCGCGGTACGTGAGCGCTTTGTCACGGCGCTCCGCGGCGCCGTGACAAAGCGCCTCCGCAACGTTACCACAGCAACAAGCTCCGCTCGTATACGCGCCATGCAGACGCGAGCTGGTATAACAGGCGAGAACGGGCCCCTATTGCCGCGACGCGGCAGATCAAGAACTCACACACCGAGCGATGGTACGAGGCCACGGTCAAGGCTTACCATAGTTGGACGTGAATTTTCGTATCTCTGGCGTTAGGGCGCATCCGCATTCTTCCGTATAGCCCGTCGCCAGGCTGCGCAGCTTGTAAAGAAAGCCACGCGCTCCGCTGTTTGTATTTCAATGAGTCACGATTGTACATTGGCATAATATATACGTATGTGTGATATAGTCTCCACGCAATCACACCCTGAACAGTTCGGTACGTGCGTTTTCCCAATTCGGTACAGGAATTCTTGGGTGTAAGATGCACCCATGCGTAATCGGTGTATAACAGCTTCAATTCGCTTGGGTAGGTTACGTGACACGATAGGTAAAATCTCGATCCTGTAGATATGGAGGAGGATAATGGTGTGTAGCACTCTTCCAAAGTTGTTTAGTTCCATTTCAGACTTGGAGGCTTATAAGCGAAGTGATGTCGCCTTAGAGTAGGGTATTTCCACGTCGGAGAATAAGGAAGGGCTGAAGTCGTAGCGTCATCTGCTGCCTCATTTCGAAGTATATTACAGTGTCCGATATACATTGAAACTCAATGAAGTGTCTCCTATCAACATAGTTTTGAAAATTGCATAGACGTAACAAAAAGTTAGTTCATTTTTACTTTGTCGTAGGTTCATAGAAATGCTTTGGAGTGCCGGTTTAAAGTCTGGAAACACTGTCCATGTTTGAGCTGGCTTTTTCAATATAAATTGAAAAGCTTCTTGTAGTCATAAAGCCTATTTTTTCTGCTGTTCAGGACGGCTTGTGACTTAGCTTAAATTTTCTCGTTTTGATGTATGATGGAATCACAATGCCTGCGGTGGAACTACTTCCGACACAAAATCCGTCTGGATATACGTAAGTTTTTGACGCGTGAATGCAGGCAATGGTTGATAAAGTGAGATATTTTAAAACTAGCAATACTGTGTCTGAGTTATTTTGAATGTCCTGAATTTCAACTGCTAAAACGGGAACAGGGAATCTCCATGGAGGAATCATTAGCAGGCTAAACGAACCTATGTCGTCGGGGATATATTGCCTTCATATTTAATAATGCCTTAAAATATTATGAGTTAGGTCATTTGAAGGTAAGGTGAGCAAGTGAGTGATGACTACGTTTGGTAACATGCCTTAGATGAGCTCGCAATGTTTCCTGCATCAGTAGGATTTCTACAGCGTGGCGCGCGCCTCAGCAACTGTGCCCAGAGCCGAAGCACATGCTGGCAAGCCTAAAAACAGCCACGGAGACAAAAGTCTAAACCGCCTAGAGAGCTTTGATTGTGTTTGATATGTTTCATGTAGAATAGGCAGGCTATACCGCAGTAAGCCACCAAGCAAGGCCATGTAATCATGAACTCCAAAGCTGGAGCGGGTGTTGACACCAATGGCGCACTGCATCGGTAACCTCGTCGTCGGACAAAAACCGTGTTCCCTTTAGATGTTCTTTCCTCTTGGAAAACAGTCAGAAGTCTGATGGCGCGAGGTCCGGGCTGTAAGGTGGGTGAGGCAACACATATTGATACTGCAGCTCCTCCAACGCGACGTTGGTCTCGTCAACAGCTACCCTCATTTTTCTAGGACGGTCTGAAGAGACCAGTGCACCGGTAACAGGACTGAATCACCGCTGGTGAAGAGTTCATCAAAATGTTGGGCGCTCCTGGAAAAGAGGAGATTCCAAACTTTCATTTGAATGTAACATCACTCAATTCCATCATCAAATAAAAGAGTGACAGCCCAGGAGGCAAAACTTATGAATCACCCCTCCTACATTAGAAGGTAGCGCTGGTCAAAGGGAGATCCAAAGGCAATGACCGGTATCAATTTAAGCATACTAAATAGGAGCACTGCCGAACTATTACACTAATACGAAACCGCGACTCACGGAAAAACCGATATTAAAAATGCTACCACAGGCTTCACAGTGGGCATTCACCGGGTTGGCTGCTTATCAAGCAACCTTGTGCCCTAATGACATCTTGGTTTTTGAAAAGGTTTCTTGAGCGTAGTGCCACTTCTTTCGCCGTGTTTTTCTGCTGCTTTTTCAGCCATCCCAGCAGACGATTTTTGCTTGTTACGTTATGCTTTAGCGGTCGTAGTTTGTAAGTACTCTTCGGCAGTCACGCAGAACGATTATTGACTTCCTGCTCGCTCAAGCACGTCGTGGTGCCGAAGCTGTCCCGAAGGTGGCATTCACTGGCAGCCATAGTTAAAGCACCTCTATCCTGAGAAAAGTGGCGCCATTCATTGTTGTGGAAATGCTCGAGACACGTGCCGCGCGTCACTACTGAGAAGAGCATGGCGTCTGAAATCTAGCTCAGTGATGCGCTGTGCCGCCATGATCTTCCCAAGGGCTGCACGTTCCACGTTCCTCGTGCATCGACACACCTTGCGCTACTTTTTTTTAAGACATGAAAGTGCTTTAGCCATAGTTTAGTCCGTTTCTTCTCAGCGCGAGAATACGATTAGCTTCCACGACGCTTCCGCAACGTGCATTGCAAACCACCAAGATGGTAGTTCTTCTCAGAAGAACTACAATACGTTCATCTTGGAAAACTTGCTTTTAAGTCGGCAACTTTATGAATGTGTATTAATGATTGCTACAGATATTTTATATCTGCAAATCAAAACAGCAAAAAAGCCGTAACTCTTACCTGATTGGTCGGAACTACTCTTGCGACTAGGCCAGTTGTACCTTTTGCGGTACCTGAGTACGAACTTTGCGTCACACGATGACCATGCCGCTGATCACATGGTTTGCCATCATGCTCGAGCCGGTAGTTTTGGTTTCGCCGTAAACCCCCGAAAGAAAACTTTGATAAGGCATATCTACAAAACCACACAACGAATAAAAAAAAAAAACGGTCACCGTAAAATTTAGATACACTTCCTTCACTAAAAACTGGAGTAACCCTAAAATTGAAAAAAAATATATTGGTCTTGCCCATTAACAAGGGGAGTTCGCTTCCAGAAAAAACTACAAAGTGCACAGATTAGCGAGGGCTTCCTTGATATAAAATAGTGTCAGTAATATTGGTGATTGAAGCAGGACTGTAGCAACTAATAAATGTTTATACACTTCTAATAAAACAAATAAGGCAATAGTTTTGTTAACGTATTTAATGAAAAATACACATGATATTAGATGAGCCTCTTTTAATTGGGATGTGAACTGGGAAGCTGAAAAGAACACAAAAATAAAAAAGAAAACAAAAATAAAATTGTTTGCGTTTTGGATTGAAATGAGCTGTTGATATGAACCAGCGAACTAGTACCCTCATTCACTAACTTTTTTTTTTTTTTTTCAGGGGAAACTTTTATTTTTATCACCCATATTTCCAACGAATGCGAGGGCCTTCTCTTAGAAGGCGGACATAGTGAATGCCATAAGAGAGGATCTGTGAGTCTTTGTCGGCATAGAAAACAATCAAATACAAAGTAGATTTTTTTTTTTAGATGATCCAAAGTGATTTTCTTACTTTTACAAAAAAAAAATACTAGTTGTTGTAAGTTTCTGCAGGTTTGTTTTCTCTGTTGTTAAAGCAGAGGATGTCCGTTGGACCGTGAATCGTCGTGTTTATTGCCGAGTACGTCAGCGCGTTTTCTCGTCGGCCAGGCAAAAAAGAAAAAAAACAAAAACGAAAAGGTTGGTGCTGTCGTATCAAACAAATTCACCTGGAGATGCCCACACTACTGTAATAGGTACATTCCTGAGAAGGGGGAGCTGCAAAAAGAAAGAAGACCAGGCCCTCCCCCAGCGTCTTGGGGGTTTGGAGGCCGGCTTATATAACATTCGGGGAATGGACGCGCCCGGGGTAGGTGGTTTGGATAAGCCCGGAGATGGGTTGCTTTAATGATCACTCCCACGGATGTGCCAGCAGCAGATTCACCAATGGGAGGGGGGGGGGGGGAGGGGGAGGGGAGACACCACTCTCTTTGAGGAATGCGGCCTCACCCCAATCTGGGAAGCCGCCACCATGGCGGTCCGCACGGCATGCACGTAGGGAAGGGCGGTTAACTTTTTACCGCGGTTAAATTTAACCAGCTTAGAGCAAACGGGCCCAGAGGGAGAAACGAAGTTTCTGCTGTAATAGCAACCTTCATTTGTAGGTATAAATGTCCGGTTTGGTTGTTGGTTGTTCCAGCGATTTCGACAGTAGCGGGTGACGTGACCAGCCATACTTCAGATGAAACAAATGGGTCGGTTGTGGGAGGTCCTCCACGTTGCGGGATTTCGTTGGTGGGATGACTTGAAGCGAGGCGTCGCAGTTGAAGATTAACATGCGCTGCATTCGGGTGTATGTGGCTGTTGATCAAGGGCTGGTCGAAGTCTTGAGCGCGGCGAGCCGCAGAAGTTCTCAGTTTCTTTCCTAACAGTTTTAACGGCTGGGACACTTAACTCGTTGGTCGATGAGTGTTGAGACCGGGAAACATCGTCAGTGGGCATAATCGCCTCCAGTTCTAGGCGGACGATTTTAGTAATGCTCTTCGTGTTAGTGTCAGCGTCTTCATAAGATGATTTTGTTAGGGTGTTTGGCAAACGGTTGAATTTGTCCGCTATCATGCGAGTCTTCGCAGTTTCGAACCTGCGGCACTCTTTCAGGACGTCGTCGACAGTCGGGCAATCCTTAATGACAAGTAGCTGAAAAGCACCGTCTGCGGTGCCTTTGAGGATGTGTTCTATCTGTTCGATTTCTGGCATTTCACGGTTAGCTTTCTGGCACAGAGATAGGACGTCTTGTATGTAGGTCACATATTACTCGGTCGGTGTTTGAACCCTGGATGCCAGCTTTCGCTTGGCCGAGAGCTTGCGACCAGTTGGACGTCCGAAAAGGTCTTGAAGCTTGGCTTCTTCTTGTGTTTCAAACCATGTTCGGGCGGTATCCTGCAAATAGAATGGGGTATTCGCTAGCTTGATCATGTCATCTCAGCGGTTATGAACACTTAGTCTTTCGTAAAAGTAGATCCAGTTTTCGACCTTCTGGTCGCCTGTGCCGGTGAAAAGGTCAGGATCTCGCGGTTGGGTGATAACCAGTGAAGACTGCGACGGTGCTGGAGTGCCTTTGGATGGTCTTCCGGAACTGGAAGTCACGTCGGTTGGTGGTTGGCGACGTTTTCTTTCTGTATCCAGGTCGGGAGCCGATCCGCACCTCCGCCAAAGAATGTTACGGTGAAAGATAGTTCAATTGGAGACTAGGAAGGTTTGCAAGAGAAGGATGAAGTGGGTGCTTCGACCTTGAGGGATCGGGAAATCGGGGCACTTCTTTCTCGAGAATATAAAGCGCCAAAAAAAAAACGACAGGACAAAGAGGAGAGTAAACAAGACAAGGCGCACTCGCAACTAACGTTTATTTAAAAGAAAAATAACACATAATATATAGGCTGTTAGAAACGCCTATTCATCAGATCAATCGATACAACCCCTTGATAAATTTGCACTCTTTCCCTGAGAGGGCAAGGGAAGGTTCAATAACGAATTCGTCTCCCTTTTCCCTAATCCCAAACGCCTCGTGCACTTCTCGGCATATTTTTTTTTTTTTTTATATTTCGCCAGAACTTTTACATCATGCAGAACTGGCGAGCACGGGCAACGACTACATTGAACAGCGAGATGACCAGACGGGCTTGCTCTCATAGCTGCCGCATGTTCCCGTGCACGAACATTGAAACATCAACCCTTCTGGCCGATGTATACGGAGCCGCAACTCAGCGGCATTTCGTACACCACCCCGACGGCATACTCAGCATATTTGGTTCGGTGTTTTATGCATCAATGCTCCATATCTGGCAGGGGCTTATTGAATCTGCGGCACAAGCGTCCCATTTTTTTTCCGGGGCTGAAAATAGTACGGGTACTCTAAACCGTTGTGCAACTTTCTTTAAGTTGCACAACGGTTTAGAGTTTAGAGTTGTGTTGTTGTTAGGCTTCAGGCCTAACAACAACACAACGAGTTGTTGTTAGGCCTGAAGCCTAACAACAACTCGGCTGGCGACTTGCCCTCTTTCATAGGGGTAGATCTGTAACGACACAAGAACCTGAAAATACGATCTTGCAACGAGCCTTCCCTGTTCTTCTTTAGCCCCTCCTTGATCGTGCGTACTGCCCGTTCGGCTAACCCGTTCGACTGAGGGTGGTAGGGCGCAGTGGTGAAATGACGTATATGGTTCCCTTGTAAAAATCGTGCCATCGCTGCACTTGAAAATTGCGGCCCATTATCGGAAACCACTGTTCGTGGCACTCCGAAACGCGCAAACAGTTCTCGGAGCACTCCAATGGTAGTCTCGGCCGAAGCTGTTTTGAGTGGTGTGGCTTCAATCCACTTTGTTTCCGAGTCCACTAGTACTAGAACCATGTACCCTTCCAGTGGCCCCGCGAAGTCCAAGTGCAAACGGGACCACCGTTGGTGGGTCTCCGGCCACTTGGAAGGAACCTGTGCCGCGGGCATCGTCCAACACTGTATACATGTCGAGCAGTTATTTACCAGCTTTTCGATATCTTTGTCTAGACCAGGATACCAATAGAGGGAGCGAGCCAGACGCTTCATCGCAGTCATTCCCGGGTGGGTATCATGCAGTTCCGTCAGCATGAACGCTCGCGCAGCTTCCGGTAGAACTACGCGATGCCCCCAGTAAACCAGGTCGTGGCTCACTGTGAGCTCATACCTGCGGCTGAAGTACGGTAGGAACTGGTGCTGCTCCGGGCGCAGGTGCGACGGCCATCCGGCGTAAATCCAGGCTTTTACTTGGCGAAGCAGGCTGTCCCGCGTAGTCATGGTGGCCATCTGCTGGGCGGACATAGGTTGGTCGTCCCACCCCCGCGTGTACAGCACATATTCAGAGAGCACTTCACTGCTGCCCTCCTCCTGCGCCGGCAACGGGAGACGACTAAGAGCGTCTGCATTCCCATTGTGGTCTCCTTTTCGGTACTCGAGATCGTACTGGTAGGCTGCGAGTAGTAACGCCCAACGCTGTACTCTAGCCGCCGCCATTTGTGGAATTGCTCTTTCAGGATGGAACAGCGCCGTCAGCGGCTTGTGGTCTGTGACGAGCGTAAAGCGGTTGCCGAACAGGTAATCTCGAAACTTGGTAACTCCAAAAACCAGCGCCAACGCCTCCTTCTCGAGCTGTGAATAATTACGCTCTGCCTTCGTCAGCGTTCTCGACCGGAACGCTATGGGGTAGTCTTTCCCATGCATGCGATGTGACAACACTGCACCCAAGCTGTCTGGCGACGCGTCGCATTCTAGCCGTAACTGTTGCCGGGGGTTGTAGTGAACCAGGAACTTAGCTTCGGCCATAGCCTGCTTAGTCTTCCGGAAAGCCCTTTCCTGATCCCCGTCCCACTGCCATTGCGCTCCTTTTGCCAATAATCTATACAAAGGGGCCAAGGTGGTTGACAAGTTGGGCAAAAATTTGGCGTAATAGGTGACAAACCCCAGAAAAGACTTGAGCTGGCTTACCGAGGTCGGTCTTGGAGCTTCGGTCACTGCCTCGAGGTTGGTCCGCTCCGGATGAAGACCTTGGGCATCGATTCTGTGGCCCAAAAAGGACACTTGCTTCTCCCGGATACGGCACTTGGCTCGGTTTAACTTCAGGCCGTTTTCCCGTAGCCGCTGCAGCACCTGCCGGAGTGTCGACGTGTCGTGTTTCTTTTCTGCGATGACGATGTCATCCAAGTAGACTTGCACCCTTGGGAGCCCTTGCAGGAGGGACTCAATGCGCCGTTGAAACAGAGCCGGTGCGGACGCAATGCCGAATGCCAGACGATTGTAACAGTACAATCCTTGGTGCGTGTTCAGCACAGTCATCTTTCGAGCCTCTTCGTCAAGAGGAAGCTGATTGTACGCGTTGCGTAAGTCCAGCGTGGTGAAGATTTCCCCCCCATATAACGCCGCAAAAATGTCGTCAATTTTGGGCAAGGGGTATCGCTCCAGGTGTGTAGCTGGATTTACCGTCAACTTAAAATCCCCGCACAGTCGTATCTCGCCGTTTTTCTTTGCCACCGGAACAACAGGTGTAGCCCATTCCGACACGCTGACCGGCGAGAGCACGCCGTCCTTCTCCAGGCGGTTGATTTCCGCCGACACCTTGTCGCGAAGCGCGTAGGGCACCGGCCTCGCCTTACAAAAACGGGGTCGCGCATCTTCCTTCCTGTACAGCTTTACTGGTGGGCCCTGGCAGCACCCCAGCTTCTCTTCAAAAACGTCTGCAAATTCTTCCAGTAGGTCCTGCCCCTCTGCGCCGGCCTGCACCATGTTCACCCCAAGCGGTGCCCCAGTTTCTAGAAGCGGTGCCCCTGCGTCGTAAAACGCCCGCAGCGTATTCCTACCGCAAAGCAGCGGCCCAGGGCAGTTCACCACAATCAACGAGCTGCGCACCTGCGTCTCTCCGTACTGTACA